ATAAAGGCAGGAAACAGACCATACGATGGAAGACGCAATCCTCACAGCAGCTCGCGCTTAATAAAATTAAAATCTTCCGTCAGAGCTGTCTTCATCTCCATCCTAATTATCGCCGTGACTTTAGATTTTTGTTTTTTATTCAACCTTTATTTAGACGGGTAAATCCCATTGCGCCTCGAGGACTCATTTACAAGAGAGACCTGATTTCAGCAAAGAATGATGACAACAATGGACAACAACGACAACTATAGACAGCTATAAAAAGACATACAGATGGGGGTGGGGGGGTTTAAATAAGATGGCAAAAAAGTAACAAAAACAGCTAGATTCTAAGGCAAATGTGGAAAACTAAAAACAGGAACATGTCTGTATTGGTCCTTGCCAGGAGTCCAGTAGATTCTTAAAGCCACTTAGAGAGGTCAAGGTCGAGAGCTTCAGGTCTTTTGTAATTTATTCCAGGAAACAGGAGCGGAGTAGGAGTAGGTCCTTTTGTCTAGTTCAGTCCTCACTGAGGGAACACTGCAGGTAATAATGTCCTGAGAGTGCACGCTGTAGCTTCACTCACACAGAGACATGTAGGAGGAGATGTATGAAGGCAGCAGACCAAGAAGTGATTTAAAGATGAAAATGTACCAGTGAGAGAGTCTGCGTGAAGTTAATGATGTCCAGTTGACCAGTGAATACTGGGTGCAGTGATGGGTACGATAATCACAGCCAGTTATGAATCTTAGTGCACCATGATAGACAGCATCCAACATCTGCAGGGTTCTTGTTGGAGCGTTCATGTAAATAATGTCACCGTAATCAATGGAGGGATGGAAAGTCACAGATACAAAGCGTTTTCTAGCATTCAGGGTTAGACAGGATCTGTTTCTGAAAAAGAAACCCAGTTTAACTTTCAGTTTCTTTACCAAGTTTTCCACATGGGGCTTAAAAGAGAGATGCAAGTCGACCAAGATACTCAAATATTTATAGGAATCAACTAAATCAATGGGGACACCGTTTGAGGATAAAATCGGAGGAAGAACTGTTGGGACCGACATCCTGTTTAAAAAAAGCATCCCTTTGGTTTTATTGGCATTTAGGACAAGTTTGAGGTGGAACAAATCAGTCTGGATGATGTTGAATGCAGATTTCAAAAGCTGGAAAGCCTTATCAACTGTTTTAGCTCAACAATAAACAACTGTGTCATCAGCATAGAAATGTATGGATGCATTAGAGATGTTTTTACCTACAATATGTATGTAGATAGTAAAGAGGGTGGGTCCTAAGACTGAGCCTTGTGGTACACCATTGTTGACTGTTAAATAACTGGAGGAAGTACCATTATGTTGAACACATTGCCTCCGGTCTGAGAGATAGTTAGAGAACCAACCAATGGTGTGTTCTGAGAAACCGATTTCTGAGAGCTTATGACACAAGATGTTCTGATCCACAGTGTCAGAATCTTTAGATAGGTCTAAGAAAAGTGCAGCACAATAATCCTTAGCATCCAGTGCTTCAACAACATCATTAAGAATTTTCAGTGAAGCAGTGGTTGTGCTGTGTTGTTTCCTGAAACCAGATTGATGGAGAGGTAAGATGTTAAATGAGTCCAGGTCATTTTTGATTTGAGAGTTTATCAGTTTTTCTAGAACCTTGGCTAAAATGCAGAGTTTAGAGATTGGTCCATAGTTGTTCAGTGAGGTGGGGTCACCTCCCTTCAGCAAATGAAGAACAAAGGCTGTTTTCCAAGTGTCTGTGATGGAGTTTTGTCTCATGGAGAGATTGAAGATGTGGGTCACAGGGACTGTGATGATATGAGCAGCCAGCCTTAAGAAATAAGGTGGAAGTTCATCTGGACCTGCAGATTTTTTAGGATCAAGATCTTTTAACAGTTTATTAACCTCACTGACTGAGAATGGAGAAAAAGAGAAGCTGTGATTAACTGAGGATTGACTTGTAGGAGGGATGTGATTTGTAGAAGTTTGGTTATTAAGTGAAGTGGCTGATCTTCCATTAGTAACTGTGTCAAATAAAGAACCAGAAGCAACAAAATGTTTGTTGAAACAGTTCAGGATCTCGTGCTTATTTGACACAGGAACAGAGTTAATGATAAGTTGTGATGGGAGGTCAGATGATTGGGGGCTGCCTGAGAGAGATTTGATGGTTTTCCAGAATCTGTTAGGGTCATTTAGATTTTTGGAAGTCTGAGATAAGAAATAGTTGTGTTTTGCATCTTTGACAGCAGTTGTACATTTATTTCTCATCTGTTGAAAACTCAACCAATCAGTGTCTGAGTCAGATTTTCTCGCTGTGGCCCAAAGATGATCTCTCCTGTGCAGGAGGTCAGCTAGCTCTGGAGGAAACCAGGGGCTGTCTCGTCCCTTTATTCTGAACTGATGAAAAGGAGCATGTTTGTTCACAAAATAAATGAAACTATTATGAAAATAGTTCCAAGTGGAGTTCATGTCATCAGTTAACAGAATGCGATGCCAAAGTGAGACAGATCCCAGAGAAATGACTGTTCACAAAAGCGTTTCAGATCCCTTTTTTTTATTAATCTGGGCTTAGAAGGTGGAAATTTAATGTCTCTGAGAGCCGCTATTACACAATGATCACTTAAAATGTCAGCGAATACACCTGTACCCAAGAATTTGTGAGGCATTTTAGTTAGAAACAGGTCTAAAATGGAAGATTTTTCAGGACGGTTTTTGTTTGGTCTAGTGGGAGAGTCGATCAGTTGGTGTAACAAACCCCTTCTGGTTTTGACTAAAATCACCACACAAATGAAGAAAATTAAATAGTATTTATTTTCTAGGAGAGATATTACAGATTGGACTGGTTCTGGTGCTGGTTCTGGTTTGGGTTCGGGTTCTGGTACTGGTTCCGGATCAGGGACAAGTCTATGAGATAGAGATCGGTTCGTGGTCGTGCAGGAGATTATGGGGAGCAGAAAAGTCAAATAAGAAGGACCACTAACTGTCTCAGATGATCCTGGGGGTTCTGGAGAGTAACGAAGTCCAAACTGATCCGGACCGCTGCAGGAGAGGCTGAGTCCGGTGAGGGGCTGCAGCGAGAGGTGGGTGGTGAGTCCGTTGAGCGCAGAGACGTGGTCATGCAAGCCTGGGTCCAAAACCGGAGAGCAAATGACAGGAGGTACCGGAGAAGAAGACGAGGAGGCGTAGTCGTGCAGGCAAAGGTCAGAACCGAAGACAGAAGATGTGGTAATCCAAAGGGGCAAGCGAAAGACTATGTCCAGGTAAGTCGTGGGTTCAGGAGCCGGGAGGTCAAGCCAAGAGGGAAGGACAGGAACCAGGAGAGGGACAAGAACGAGGAGACAGGTAAACTATGACAAGGGGACATGAAAGGCTAAAGGGGAACAAGGCAGGATGAGTAACGCGAGGTATCTACTTACAGTGAACTGTGAACTACCGGGCACCGAAGAGGAGAAAAAGTGCAGCTTTTAAAGGGTGAGAGAGACAGGTGCAGCCAGTTGAGTTCAATCAGCTGCTGCTGGCTGCAGTGAAGACCAAACTAAACAACCGTGACATCACCCTCAACCAGCATGCAAAGAAGACAAACTAAAACTCACATATATATAAATAAACATTACCTGAGCGGACAGAATAAATGAAACTTACAGAAA